CTAACGGCGTTGATGACGTAATCATTATTGCCGCCTAATTTCTGAGACATGATTCTACATTTCCCTGTATAACTCGAGTTTGTATTTGGTTTGTTCCTATTGGTTTGTATATTAACTCATATCATTAGTGAATAATAATTAGGAGAAACGCGCTTTCCAATAGTATGTTGGAATAACGAACAATAATTTTGCTAAATAACTTACAATCCGTCATATGTAGCTAAAAACTTGTATTCTTTTTTGTGCGTGAGAAAACGTTTCGAACGTAATACAGGGTGTGCAATATAAGGATATCTATCATGGGAATCTCATAAACGGTACGTAAAAATATTTTAGCTGTTACATTCGGTTATCTGGGATTGAAGCTAATGTCATATTTTGTTTGAATGCAGTCACTAATACCTGACTTGTTGGTTGGTTTGCGGAGTTTTCCATCATCTGAAATAGATGGTGGGTACATTTGGTTTTCATGCCAAAAGAACTCATCAATGTAGCCATCCCGTGCTTCAGATGCGACATACAATCTGCAGAACATGTTGGAATTTTTAGCAAGTTAGCAATCTTGGACTTTGACTTATCTGTTTTTCTTGTGATAGTATTGAAGATGTGAATATTGGTCCGAGAAATAATTTCATGGATTGAATTTTGAACTTGATCGAGACGGAACTAGACATATTCATCATATTGCTTCAGTCTTAAGGTAAATGCTTCCGTAACACACTCCACAGCTTCGACACTTGGAATTAGGTTTGGAGCTCCTTATTGACACCAAATCGGTTTCTTCAAACGGATTTCCTTGTTCGATTAGGATATTAATCATTTTTTCAACATGGGTCAAAAACCTTTTCTCAAATACATTGTCATGATGCTTTGCGCCCACGTTTTTGTCATCTTTTAAAATTGATTTCTCCTCAAATTCCACAATTGAACAACTCATCCTATGGCCTGCTACCATCCACTTGAGCAGAGCATTTTCACAGCTGATCGTCAGATATTGCAGAAAACTGTCTAGCAGTTTTGCTGCTCGTGAAGTTGCCCCGAAGAAATTCAACATGTATGTCTGGATGTTTTTCTGGAAGGTCCTGTAGAGTTCGTACGAACACTTGCAACCAACGAGAATAGTGGACTGCATCCAGCGCGAATGTCCACGGATATAACTAAGCCAAAGTATCGACGAACATGGTAAAGTTAGATGTACGAATACTCAATACAAGTTGCACTAGAAGGTACTCCAGTTTGATAACTGTATTCCAATATCGGAACTCACGACATTCAGATATTTTCGACAAAATCCACAGTTCAATACCTTCTCCACTGATGCTGGAATTTGTTTCGCGTGCTTTGTTGAATGTGTTTACCTGTAGACAATGCAAGGCAGTTAAAGTAACTTCGTGTGCATACCAAGCTCTTTTTACATGCGAAGATGTGAGGCAGGATTCCGCAATACCAGAACTTGCAATACCAGCGGTTGTCACTAATTCAGTCCATCCATTGCCAATTAACCACTTGCCAAGTAAGTTAATGACCATCAACGTGGCAATGTGAATGCCACCCATCATGAATGTGATGCGATTCTCGCCATACTTGTCAGAAAACTTCCATTGCAGTTGCTTCCCAATAAAAGCATATACTGGTTGGTCACATGTAATCACGGGGGCCGGGGGCTTGATTTCCATTTAATTTTGATGTAACCATTATTATGATATCCATCATATGCCGTACCATTGCTGGCGTCGCAATTTCGTCATTTGCAAGTGGAATCAATGACGCATTACACTTTATATTTCTAAAACCAGGTTCATTTTGTTCATGAAAAGCAGCGAACGATACTCTATGCATATGCTCTATTACTTGTATGTCTTCAATATGCAATCTCTCCAGGACAGAGTTAAGCCAAGGATTTAAGACTTTTCTAGGAGTGAAGGCAAGATCATGGTCAGTCTACTGTGGATTAACAGTTGGCAAAGGAGGGTCACTTCTAACTTTACCAGTTGCAGGAAGAGTAGTGTAGTATTCAGGGAGGCCATTTACAATTAGAATGTTCCACTGCTGGATATGAACGCTATCCTCGTCAATCTTCATAACTGTGTCACTGTGAGGATGTTGAATAATTGTAACACTTGAACCATGGAAGGAAGTAACGGCAGTAGAAAAAGATGGATTTTGGTCAATGATGTCTATTGCTGATGCTACAAATACAGTGGGACACAACTTTGGCGGATGAACACCATCTTCCATATATTGTTTACACAATACATTTGTAACTGTGGCTGATATTTCTTGCACTCGATCATATGGAACACTCTAACCCAGACGACACAGTTTATCTATAATAATCTTACTCTTTTTAGTGACAGCGTGAATCATGAGATCTACATATAGTGGGAGTGGTGTTTCTCTCTCCAGAGAGTGACATGCACTCTGAACATTTTCTTCTCTGACATGTTTAATGCTGTTATATCTAATAAGTTGGGCAATTGACAATCCTGCATTATTTGCTGCAAGTATTTCTGGTGTGGATGCCGTCACAAGTTTGTCTTTACCTTCTCCTTCGTCACAAAACAGAGACACGTTTTTCACATCTGAACAAAAAAATGATGATTTTGTAAATTTTGATGTAGATGGAGTTTGGTCTGAGCAAGATGGACGCTTTTTCGGTTTCTTTTCACAACATAGTCTTTCTGCCTTTTGACTGTCAAATTTGTTCTAGCAAGATTTGTGCTATTTTGCTGCATGGGTTACTAGTGATTGTGAAAGACCACGCCCATCATTCAACTGGTTCAAATTTCTTATACCACTTGGAAGCTGACCATGTTCAGCAAAAATTGCAAGATTCTTTGCCATGGTTAACCTTCATGCTTCGGGCCTAACAAACTCAGGTCCCATACAAATGGAACCACCACTAGGTCAGTCGTAGCATCAACGAATTCATGTTTTCTCTTTTTTGACATAATTGGGTAATTTCTTTAAAAAGCCGCTCTATTACTCGCTGTGCAATACTACATTGTTTTGACAAATGTTCAGCAACGTTTGTTTAGAAAATAGAAGTTTTATATACTACCGTTCAAAAAATTTTTTTCACTCACAAAAAAGTATATGACACATTTTCAGCCAAATATAACGGATTCCAAATTATTTAGCATAATGTTACATAAAAATGAAAATTAAGATCAACAATTTTAATAAAGTTGCAAATATTTCTGGTATTATGTGCGTAAATGATGATGTGCAATATACCGTTGGGAAGCGCGTCTCAGTCCTGATTAATAATCACTAATAATATACGTTGATATCATAATACAAACTCGAGTTATATAGGCAAATGTACAATCATGTCACAGAAAAACTGGGGACCATATTGATTATGTCATCAACGCCGCTACAAGTCCAAAAAAAATTGTGTCCCGGGCTTCTTGGACTCGCCTACCCCGTCTACCCATATTATTATACTACCTGAACCCAAAGGGGCGCATCGGTTGCCAGATCTGAAACTTTTCTCACCCCACTACTAGAACTTTTACCATTTGACATATTCGTGCTTCTATTGAATAAACCATTTGATCCAAGATGTGATCCTTCCTCCATTTATAAAATCACAAATTTCAACGGAGAAGAGTTTCGCTATAGGCCTTACGTCAGTTATCCTCAAATTTACATTGATTATCTTTTTTATATATATTTTTTTTGTAATAGGAACTAGATATATTGAATTTTGATAACTAAAGTAAGTGAGAGAATACAAATGTAGTTATAATTTTGAAGGTGATCATCATCATCATGTGCATCACGAAAAAACCGTTACAATCGTCAAAAAAGTACCTCAACCCTATCCAGTGGAAAAAATTGTTCACGTACCCGTGGAAAAGAAAGTCCCCTACCCCGTTAAAGTGCATGTACCACAACCTTACCCTGTAGAAAAGAAAGTTCATGTACCAGTAAAAGTGCCTGTACACGTTAAAGTACCCATCCACAAGCCAGTACCTGTAGAAAAAATTGAACACGTGCCAGTCAAGGTGAGTACAGATACATTAAAAGTAAATGTTGCATCTAAACATATTATTTCATTAACAGGTTCATGTAGATAAGCCCTACCCGGTGAAAGTGTTGGTACCTCAACCCTACCCAGTAGAAAAAGAAGTCCATGTACCATACAAAGTCCACGTACCCGCCCCTTATCCGGTAGAAAAAGAAGTACCATATCCCTATAAAGTTCCAGTACATGTCCCCAAACCATATCCAGTAATAAAAGAAGTTCATGTTCCAGTAAAAGTACACGTAGATAAACCGTATCCAGTGCACGTACCTCAACCTTACCCTGTACACGTAGAGAAAAAGATCCCTTACCCAGTATTCAAACCAGTTCCTGTTCCAGTCAAAGTTCCAGTAGAACGTCACGTACCGTACCACGTAGAAAAACCTCAACCCTATCCTGTAAAAGTACCCGTACCAGTCCCATATCCGGTAGAAAAGAAAATTCCTTATCCAGTGGACAAGCCCGTACCATATCCAGTTAAAATCCCAGTTTTTAACCCGGTGCCTTATACAGTAGAAAAGAAAGTACCGTACGAAGTTAAAAAACCATATCCGGTACCAGTCAAAGTACCTGTACCAGTGCCAGTGCATGAAAAACACGAAGAACACCATGATTTTGGTGGCTCTAGCGGGGGACACGATTTTGGTGGCTCTGAGCTAGGTCACGGTTTTGGCGGTTCTGAGGGAGGACACGATTTCGGAGGTTCTGAAGGAGGACATGAGTTGGGTGGTTCTGAGGGAGGACATGATTTCGGTGGTGGATATGAGTAGCACCACTAGCTTACTGCTTAGTAATTTAAAATATTTTTTGTCAGTATTAATTCGTTTTTAATTTTTTTTTTATATTGTGATGTTTTTGTTATTTAAAAAATATAAATATTTAAATAGAGTTTTTATTGATTTCCTCAAGGTTTATGAAAGTTTTCAGACTGCAGTTAGCAATAAAAGAGTAGGTACCTAGTCCTTACCTTAAATATGGTATGTTGGCCGGAATATGATACTTGGAACCAGGGTCGAAATTTATCTCTGACCTCAGCACTGGAGGTTTAATTCCTTGATACTGCTCTCTAAAATGTGAAAAGCATTAGAATATTTTTTATAATCAATAGTGCCAGGTACCTTAAAATGTGCCAATGGCAATTATACTCTTCTTTGCCAATTTTTCCTTTAAAAACGTCGTACCTCCATTTATCCATAACATAAGCAAATGGAAGAAAGGCAACTTTCTCTAGTGCCAGTTGGTAAAGATAGTTTATTTCAACAGCAGTGTCCTCTACTGATACTGGTACTAAGCCTAATGCTTGGAGATGTTTAGGGGTTCCAACTGAGAGACCAATTGCTTCACCTATGGCTTCGTGAAATGCTAAAATTATAGGGTAATAAATTTCATGACTAGAAAAACCTCATAGTTTATTTACCAGGATTTGCTCCATCTCTGAAAACCTTCGGTTGATTTTTATATGCCATAAAATAATGAATATGAGCCATTTCATGGTGAGCTGTGATCAAATCCTTCATTTTTACATTTGCGCACATCTTGATTCTAAAAAAATTGTAAATAAGTTAGTTTAGTTTTCACAAATTCAAATATTTTGTGAGGATAGAAATCACGAGCTTCTTTATGGTTATAGAAAGAGTTTCTGGCCTTTTAAAGTGTTATTATGTTATGGTCGAAGGGTGTGTTAAAGCTGTAACTCATTTTTTTTTGCTTGTAGAATCTCATAAAAATGATTCAATTGGAGGTTTCCAAGCCTATACCTAAACAACTTGAAAGATTTGGAGTGGTTTGATAAGAGTGTGGCAGTTGTGATATCTTCTGTAGGTATATAGTTTTTGTAACCAGTAGTCACATTAATCATTATCATATTGTATTTGTCATTGTCATTAGTTTTCATCATTGTGAATGTCGTGTATAATTCTTGTTTATTGTCTCTCTGTCTGTGACAGTTTTTATCTAAAATATGTAAATCTGGGAAATAAGAGTACCTATGTGTGTGCATGAGTATAACTTTCACAGAGACTATGATGGTGAATTTTTGCGAGTTTACAAGATGTGAAATTCCCCTTAATAATTCTTCAATTTTGCACGTATAAGTGTTCGTTAATTCGTCTGCTGGGTCCCATATTATAGCTTTCCATTTATAAACAGCCGAAATTAATTATTCTTCCATGCCGATTATGCCTTGCGCCTGGCTGAAAATATCAAACACGACTGATTGCCAGGTGGTGTGCTTGGTGGGCTGCTAGGCTGGTTAAGGTGGTCGTAAATCGCAGTGCGACTGATTCGGTTTAATCACTTGTTTCGGAAACACACTAGTGGGTTACTTGGAGGGTCGCTATCCACTACCTTCCAGGTAAACCGCTGCCGCAGGGTTAAGGCCTGACCGATTCGACGCTGATCAAAACTCTCCAAAAGCTGCACAAGAGTGGACTCACTGGAAGGCAACTTTCAACAATTTCATATCATCCGTTGATAAGCTAGAAAATGATGAAAAACTGAAACTCTTGGTGAACTATGTAAGCCACAACAATTATGAGCACATATCCTGCTGTTCTTCTTACTCAGAAGCTATTAAGATTTTGAATTCAATTTTCATTAAACGTTGAAATGAAATATTTGCCAGTCACTGCCTCACGTCTAGGAAGGAGCAACCTTGAGAAACTTGATCAGTACCTACAAGCACTAAAACATCTAAAGTAAAGACTGTAACTTCAAAGCTGTCAGCGCTGAAGAAAGTCAAAACGACTATATTAGAGATTCTTTCAATAGTGGCTTAAGCTCTTCCCAAATTCGACAACGATTGTTGGAGAATACTACTTTGAAACTAGGTCTCCCTTGTATATTGACAACTCATCATCGATTTGTAGTTTGGCGTTCCTGATAATTGATCCGCCTACATTATTTTCAAATTTATCAGCCGACTGCAGGCCAGTTGCTACAAAGTCTAGACGATTTTCACCAGAAGATAGACACTTTATTTCTATTGAAATGAGAAACCTTCTTTCAAATAAAATCATGGAAGAAAGCAACCCTTCTTGGCGGGCACAGTTGTTGGTAACGAAAAATGAAAAGCACAAGAAAAGGATGGTGATCGATTACTCTCAAACCATGAACAGGTTTACATATCCTCCCCTATCTTACGTACTGTCGTATCTCAATTTTTCCAATTTTACAGGAGGCACGATTTTTTCTTTTCGGTGATATTCAACCATTTGTTGTAAGAATAGGATTCAACTTAAATTAATTTTACCATAACTGAGAGTACTCTGATAGGCATACTATAGAATGTACATATGATATTTTTTCGGTGTTATAGTTATATTTTTGTTTGATTCGCTGTTTAAAAGTTTAGGGTGTCCCATTTAAGATAGTATTGGCGGTTATCTGCTAAACTCGTAGAGGTAGCTTTTTTTGATTTCACATTCCTGGGCCAATTTTTTAAGACGGATCGAATGCCGCAAACCGCAAGTCTCTATCTTGTACCGTTTCGGAGATAAAGGGTGAAACTTGAAATTTTCACTTTTCGAGGGTAGTCATTATCTCGCGTAAGAAAAAAAGATATCAGAAAGATGAAAATTGTGTCCGACGCAGTTTTTTCCGCAGATTTCATTGGCGTACTGCAATTTTTTTTCCGAGGTACCGTTTAAGAGATATGACACACACTTCATCTTTTTTAAATAGGACACCCTGTATATTTTTAAATTTTTTAGAATACGCATAAAATTACCTTTCCAATGATATATAGTTTGTCTATATTCTTTTGTAGTTTGCCAATATTATTATGGTATTTAAAACTTTCCATAAGAAATAACTCTTGCAAATCACATTGGTTTTATTTTCTGGTGTGAAGAACTTATAATTTTTTGATATGGAACACCCTGTAAAATAATAGTTTATTAAATCATGTATTTTTTCCCATTTTAACGATATAGGTATTACACTTTTTAGTTATACCTCTGCATTAACTTCAAGAAGAAATAGTTTCTGATTGCAAAGAAAATTGATGTCATTTCAGATTAACCGGTACCTACCTACAGCAAATATCATAATAGTATATTGTTGTATTAGGAGTAGAAGCTTTACTTTTTTGTGCTGAAGCAGTAGGTTTGCGAGCCGAACGTAGTGAGGCTTGCAATACTGCTGAAGCACAAAAAAGTGCTTCTACTCCGTATGCAACACGCTATTTTTTCTCCAAACGAATGGGGTGAGCTCGGGGGCAAGTGGATGGTTAAGCGGCAGTTATTAAAAGTACGAGCGGCACTAAAAGTACTTTTGCTGCCGCTGAGGTTGCCAAGCAGCATAGAAATTAAATTTCTACCACCTCGACAGGTGTTTACCCGCTAGATTTGCCTAGCAGCATGGAAATCAAATTTCTGACATCTTGACAGGGGTTAACAAAGTGACGTTTTTCTGACGTTTGGAGAAAAAAGAAATAATCAAATATCTCACTAATGCTCGGTAACTGAATTTAATAGTCTAACGGCCAGTTTATTCTTCTGATAAACTGTCAGATATCGCAATATGACGGATAAACTGGCAATCTATACATAATCCTATTGGTTGGCCAGTTATCCGCAGACCAATAAGATTAGAGATTGGCAAATTTATCTTGTAGTGTAGACAGTTAGGCGGTTGACCTTCCGCACATTAGGCAACTGGGAAGAAACATACTAGAAACTTGAATCGTCAATCAGTTGCTTATTAGTTGCCGCTTGTGTATTTCAATGAGCATCCGCACCCAACACAAATCACTGGTAACGAAACTCATCGGTGATCAGTTTGCCGCAACCCGACATGCAGCGTCGCTTGGCGATCAGTTTCTAGTTTATCTTGTGAACAAGCACGCAAAATGGCGAAAACCGGAGACCGGAGAACAATCCTTCAATGGGCTCTTTCACTAAAATTTAAATACGTAATTTAGGTATAAAATCCCAAAGGAGGGACTATTTTAGGCACATATACCAAAAAAAAATGTTCTACAAGGTTAAATAAGTTTTTTACAGGCATTTTAAACTACCAAAATTTGAATTATTTAAAAACGCGCCGATTTGCTGACGTCGCATAAATATTTTTCATTTCGCTTGTTGTTGGAAAGAGCTGTCCGCCTCTGCTGTATTTATCCTGTAGTAAATGCAGGTAAAGGTTCGAATGCGCTGTTGTCGGTGGTGACTAAATGTAGTGCAACGTAAAATAAATAAATAAAACTAAACATAGAAAATTATATTAAATTGTGTTTAAGCATAATTTCAATAAAAATGTTATAAAATCTTGAATCCATAAGTAATTAATTTAACTACTTTTCATGATATTTTGGGAACATTTCAGAATTAAATCTATTACAAATTTTCAATGTTGACAATTAGTGGCAACATGGTCAAATAGCGAGCTGCGACGTCATAGAAATAAATTCTGGGTTTTTATTTGGAGGTATTTCTTTTTTTTCTGTTTTCTCAAGAAGGACTATGAATTTTTCAAAAGTAAAAATACAGAAAATTCTGTTTTTAGTTGCTTTATCCAAATATGCCAATTTCAAAAATTAGTGAAAGAGCCCATTGAGGCTAGTTCAAATCCTATAATGCATTTTATTTATTTTTTAATGTAGTGGTAAACCTAAACCCAATACTTCATTTTCTTGTGCCGAATTCTTTTTTATGATAAGTGATAAAATCTCCATGACTTGAATCATTGAAAATTTTTTCTAGGATAATAACAATATCTTAATCATAATAATAAAATAATAATTTAATCACAACAAAGCTACCGGACTCTCGTGTCCCTGATTTCACGTTGGTCATTGCCTGAAAAAACTTTCTAACAAAGCTACCATAATCAAGAAGTGACTTGATTTTCCAGTAGCGTCGTGTGCGATCCATATTCCATATTTGGTAAGTAGTTGGTGATTTAAGTTGCCAATTGGTTTGGTTTCTTTTTAGTTGCTTAAAATATGCGGAGGGCCTTACCAGTGAATATCATGAATGCAATAGGTATCTAATTAAAAATTTTATCAATGGTCGGAAACCGAATTTATTAGTCCAAGGCCCGGCTTATTCATCTTTAGATAAATTTACTGGTAAGGCCCTCCGCACATTTCAAGCAACTAAATAGAAACCAAACCAATTGGCAACTTAAATCACCAACTACTTACCAACTATGGAATATGGATCGCACATGACGCTACTGAAAAATGAAGTCGCTTCTTGATTATGGTACCTTTGTTGTGTTTAAATTATTATTTTATTATCATGATTAAGATATTGTTATTAATTTACCACTACATTAAAAAATAAAGCAAAATGCATATAGGATTGAAACTAGCCTCAAATTGAAGGATTGTTGATTGTTCTCCAGTTTTCGCCATTTTGCGTGCTTGTTCACAAGATAAACTAGAAACTGATCGCCAAGCGACGCTGCATGTCGGGTTGCGGCTAACTGATCACCGATAAGTTTCGTTACCAGTGATTTGTGTTGTGTGCGGATGCTCATTGAAATACACAAGCGGCAACTAATAAGCAACTGATTGACGATTCAAGTTTCTAGTATGT